TCTCTCTCTCTCTCTCTCTGTCTCTCTCTCTCTGTCTCTCTCTGTCTCTCTCTCTCTCTCTCTCTCTCTCTCTCTCTCTCCCCTGCAGTAAACATCAGCCATCACAGATCCATACCTGCATCAGACCCTGTAAGAACTTTATGTTTCTCTCAGATATAGTTTCATTCTAAGACCTTCTGCGCTCCTTGGTGATACTGTATTTCTGCTTTACTCATTCAGTCACAGAACTCTGAACATGCAGTTATACGCTTTATTTCTGATAGAACGAGGGAATAAATCTGTACTTGTCAGTATTTTAAAGACAACCAATCTAATCCTAACTTGAACAATGCTTGCTGAGGAGTGAGAAAAGAATCATTGATAAATCAGATTAGTGTTGAATCCTTTAATGAGTTCTCAGTTTTTCCTGAATTATTATTATTCAGTTATTGTTTTTATTGATTTTTAAATGTATTTTAACAACACTAACAACTGCAAAACAGATAACAGATACTAACAAATCACAAAATCTACAATAAAGACAAAATAGAGTAAAATTAAATAAAATTCTGTGGGGATGGGGGTGAGTGGTGGGGTTTCAGAACAGAAGTACAAAAGGAATGGCTGCCAGGTCGTATTGTGTCATAAACAGTATGTTTCAAATGTTCAAGCTTCAGGTGAGACATGACATCTTCCACCCACCGTTTATGAGACGGAGGGGCAGCTTTCTTCCAGTTAAACAGTATTAAACATCTAACAAGTAGTCTAATGAATGCTATTGAATTAGCCTGATGTGTTGGTATGTCCACATCAACAATCCCAAATATAGCAGATGTAGAACACGGCTCAATATTCTTCTTAAACATAAATGACACTGTTTTAGAAACTGCTTCCTAAAAGGTCTGCAGTCTGGTGCAAAGCCAGAACTTCTAACTAAGGTCAGCAGGGCCTTGTCCACACCTGGGACAGGAAGAGTCAGCACCAGGGTGTATTTTTCCAGTTCTACTTGGAGATAAATGCAATCTGTGTAACACCCTGGACTGCAGTAAGCCATGTCTGATACAGACTAATGAATGAATTTTTATAACCGCAGCCTGCAGAGTCCTGTCTGTAAAGACTTCCCTTAATTCTTCTTCCCACTGGTTTCTGAAACGTTTGAGTGACGGGGATGCAGCTCTCTGAATCCTGCCTTATATCTCTGATAATAAACCTTTATCATGACGATTTGTGTCCAGACATTCGTTAACCCCGTTATATGAGGCAATGTTAGAGAAAACATTGTTTTTACAGTACATAACCACATACTTGGAGATATTTAGAAATATCAGTCTGAGGAATACCAAAGTCCCCTTTCAACTGTTCAAATGAAATGAATTGATCTTTACAAATGATACTTACACACGTTATTCCTTAAGGAACCTCAAACGACTGCATTGTTTGTCCAATAACCCTTGCTTAAAGGTAAAGGAACACAAACTAAAGAGCCGTGAGAAACTGGATCACTGTAAAGTTGTTCCAGGTGAACACAAATATGCTATTCAGTGTCTGACAAGTCTAAACTAATTCAAAGATTTATGGATGTTGGTTGCCCAGAAATAATGAAGGAAATTGGGAAGAGAGAGTCCACCTTTCTAAAAATAATTTTCTAATCCTAGGGATGTTTTGTTCCAGATGAACATGGAAATACTTTGGTTTAATTCTTTACAGAACATTTTGGAAACGAAAACTGGTACAGTTTCAAACAAATATTCCCTGAATTGTTACAGATCAAATAAAAACAACAATAAACTTCAATAAATACAGTTTTAATCAGACCATCACCCTGTGTGTAACTACATCATTGTAAAATGAACTTTAAAACATCAGTGTCTTTAACTAAAGTTTTGTTTTGCTTTGTTTGTTTTTTCTTCCTGCTTCTTCCAGTCACTCCAGCTGATAACGGTGGGCATGACACCTGACATTATATTCATAAATCCGCTTTATTCTTCAGAGAAATGACAGGTTTTTGTTTATTTGCCTCTGGTCTTTGGGTGAAACAGTATGGAGGACAGAAACTGATAAAATTAAAAGTAGAAATACGTAAATGGCCCAATAAATAAATAAATAAATAAATAAATATTAGTAATGTGGTCGCAAAAGCAGAAACACGTTGGAATAATACGAGAAAAGTCTGCATATATGATAATCAAAATATGATTTAATTGTGAGCAACAAACACAGAACTGAATCAGGAAGTTCTGCACGCTTGCTACTGGACGCGTCAGCAGAATTCAGTCAATAATATACATCATGTCAACACCATGTGACAGTTTACAACCAATCACAGATTGCCAAATGTACTGTCCAGCCAATCACAGAACTCCCACCCAAAGAGTGTCTTATCAAACAAGAGAGGTCAGTCCATTGCGGAGTCCCGTTGTCCAGACAACGAGAGCGAAATGAGCTATCAGAAAGATACAAGCAATGGACAATGTCAAGGGGAAACAGATATAAATAATTGGTCCATGACAAGTAATATCTCATGTGGAGTGCCGCAGGGTTCCGTTCTCGGACCTAAGTTATTTATTTTGTATGCGAACGATTTGGTCAATGTGTTGGGACTTTTTGGGTGTGTTCTATTTCCTGATGATACAACATCCTTTTGTTCTGGTAAAAATATAGAACAAATGTTGGAGATGATACAGACAGAATTTATGAAAATACAAAGTTGGCTTCAACTTAATAAATCATCATTAAACTTGGACAAGACAAATTGTATGATTTTCTGTAACAATAAGAGAACTGTAGACGTTTCATTTAAAACTGATGATGTAGAGATGTGTAGAGTCAGTGAAGTGAAGTTTCTAGGTGTCATTATTGATGAAAAACTGACATGGAAACATCATATAAATGGTTTACAAACAAAAAAAAAGCCAAATATATTGGAGTCCTGTACAAAGTAAGAGAACTGTTCAATAATAAAGCACTGTTTATGTTGTATAACACTTTGATTGTTCAACATTTAATTTACTGTATTGAAGTCTGGGGTAAAGCTTGTAAAACTATCACAAATCTTGTTTTTATTTTACATAAAAGAGCTCTAAGAGTTATTACTAGAAAAAATTACAGCCATCCATCGAATATCTTGTTTCATGATTTGAAATTATTAAAATTGTATGATTTGGTTGATTATAATATTTTACTGTTAATGTACAGAGCTCATAAAGGTGTGTTACCTTTCAACATTCAGGTAAATTTAGTTAAAAGACAGAGCTGTTATTATCTTAAAGGAATAGAAATGTTTATGAAACCCTGGTTTGGTACGAGCCTGAAGGAGAGATCCACTTTAATCCAGGGATTAAGATTATGGAACAGCCTGGAAGATGAGGTTAAAAATGACAGAATCTTGTATATACTGAGGAGAATGATAAAATCTAGTATTCTGAAGAAATATGGAGAATTATAAGTCAGCACAAAAAGTCAGCAGCTCTTCACTCGACATTTATCCACAAACTGGTCCTGGATTAAGCTCCAAAGTTTTCATCAGTCAGATTCCACCATGAAAAATGTCTGTTTTATCCCATTTTATGAGTTTTTGGCCATTGACTATCTTTAAAGAGTAACTTACCCCAAAATTAACTTTTTTTAGCTGATAAACTGTCTAGAATGTGTCTAAAATGTTATATAGTACTGTTTCTGTG